GCAACCTTGAATTGAAACAAATGCAGACCGGATCCAACTCTCTCTTTCAGCCATTGAACAGTCGATCGCAAGAAGGTTGTCTCCTTCTCTGCTCACAATTCTTCCTTCAGCCGAGCTGCAAGCTAAATAGAAATAGATTAACCCACCTCTCCCTCCCTGGGTTGGCCGAATGTCGTACAATCACGCGGGACTCACATCCCGCGGGACTGCCTCATTCGTGCCTTGGTTCCCGCTCGGGATTCTAGCAATCACGAGCGGCACCCCTGGGTAGCGCGCGCTCAAGGTCGGAAGTTGGAATGGAATGGAATGGAATCGAATCGAATCATTCGAATCAAATCGAACCTTCCCAACGAGCCGGGTTGCGCCCGGCGCCCGGGGAGAAGAAGCATCCCATTTCAGTGCAACAACAAAAAGCTCAACAAAACAATCTTCATACCGTATCTCTGTGTGCTTCATACGAACGGGTGCCAACGTGCCAACACAGACAGATTGGTTCTCCTCTACCGATCACAGAACAATCTTTGGGACAAAAGCCAAGTGAGAAATCATGGCTCCAAATAATAGCAGCAAGACCAGGAAGAATTCCAAGAAATCAGCAGCCGAAACTGTGCCTAATCATGTTACAGCTAGCAACAAGTCAAAAGATTGTAATAATGCTGCCGTGACCTGACACGAGGCGGCATTAGCAGCAGCCATTAAAGGTCGAGATGACATGGGAAACTTTTACAATTCGCATGCGGAACTACTAGCCATGCAAGCTGCCAACCGCGAGGACTTTTACGAGAAAAACAATGAATGGTGGCAAACGGGTGGCTATGGTGGTGCCACAGACGATGAAGAAATGATTGGTGATGAAGATGGTGCCAGTGATTGCCTGGAAGGCCTTTTCTTTTTAGACAGACTGATACAAAAGAACAACAAGGACAAGAACAATTCATTATTGATGCAACACAAATTAGCCGTTGATGTGGGAGCTGGGCTAGGACGGATCACCAAAGGCATTCTGTTGAAGCACTATGACGAAATTCATCTGGTGGAAGGAAACTCTGCCTACAGCAAGCGGAGTAAAGTCAAGCTCGGAAAGAAGAAGGCCAAGCGATGTGTCTTTACCCAGTGCTATTTACAAGATATTAATTCTCAGACACTTGGTACCAATAAGCCAATAGATCTCATATGGATCCAATGGACGTTGCAATATTTGACTGATTGTGATGTGATTGAGTGCCTGAGAATATTGGCAGAGGGCCTGCGACCCATTGTGGGGGTGTTGGTCGTCAAGGAGAATCGACCCTTTGGAATACAAAGAGAAGACCGGTTTCAAATGGACACTCCAGCGGGAGAGAACAACCGATATGACATTACAAGACCCGATGCCCATCACCGACTGCTGTTTCAAATGGCCGGGTTAACGGTGAAGTCCACGGAACGGGGCGAAGAGACCAATACTTATGAGTTGACAAATGAAACATTGTGAAGTACAGGATGATGGATGACCTTTGGTGAGATGAAACTCAGAAATAAGGGTACCAGAGCAGACCAGACATCAACCTGTGCAACTATTGCATTCTGTACCATAGTAGCAGAGAGGCCGGCTTGTTTCTTCGGTTGGTTATTATTTTATCATCTAGCATGCATTTTGTTTTCATCTATCTTATTGAGCGCTGTGAGCGAACACAACGCTGCCAGGAAGGACTTCCGTTGTCCAATAGATCAGCGAGACATTACCGCCACCAGACAATCTGATCTCCCCTTCCTTTTCCTTCAAGCAATCGTTGAAGAGTAGCACTTCTAATCAGAGGGAGAGAAGCTGGATGTTCCATCATCCAATTCAACGCTGTCACTACAAATTTGTGGGGCGACACACTGACACTGCCCATTGACAATGCGTGCAGAGAAGGGATTGGCAGGGAGCTTGCTCTTGGCGGCTTGCAAGGGACATTTGGCAATGCAATTGTGGGTCACGTAAAGGTAGGGATCCGAATAGTCGCAGCAGTCAAGAGTACCCCAGGCATATCGGACTGCCGTTGGCGCGGAACCATTTAGTGGCGCCAAGTCTACGTGGATGGCATTGGTTGTTCCAGGAGCCAAAGCAAAGTTGACCATGATCCATCCTTCATCATAGGCTTGGGTGGTTGGATTCGTGGCCTGGTCCTTTGTTCCGCCAGCCCATTCTGGGCAATAAAAGTACCTCGGATCGTCCTTCTGTCCAGTGCCGCTGTATGTAATCTTCCCCTCTAGGCAATACTGCGATTCGTCAACCTGTACAAACAACTGGGAGCCTCCGGCAAGAGGATGGAACCTCTCGGGCTTGGGAAGTGCGGGCGGAATGACTGGTGTCGCCAACTGATCTCCTCTCATCAGAGTCTTGTTGAAACGGATTTCCAAGATATTATTCTTGAACGAACAGCCCTGAAGAGTGGGTCCAGTGTAGGCTTCCTTGCCGCCATAGATCAAGTTGTAGGCTGCGGTGCCCAAGCGATCGCCCACAGCTTTCTTACTGCGAGGATGGATACCACCCATGACTTGAGGAGTACCCAACGACGCTATGCAAGCTCCGTTTGGCTGGTAACAAATCTTGTGCAACGTGTCGTTGCACGTCTTGGGATCGTAATGTTTCTTCTTGACCTCGCAGCAGTTGCTGGTGAAACATGCGCCTAAATCAGGCCCCCACTCGTCGTCGAGATCATAAGCCTGGGCTAGGAACGTATTAGGCAAGTCTGGACTTGGCAAGACACCATAGTTGGCAGTTTGAGCCAGGTGCATCGCGCCCATATCTGGGCCACCTTCACTTCCACCGGATGCCAGAGTGACTACTCCAAAGGGCGCCTCTGGATCTGTGGTACCTGGTGTTTTACTCCACAATTCTCGCCATTGTTCAATCAAGAGTTTCATTTCGCAGCTGTAGCCCACTCCTGCGTCGGCATTGCCCTTCAAATCAAACATGTTGTTCTTGAAAAAAGACAATGATTGTAAGGAGAATGTCATGATGTTGACGCAAGGACGCCCGTAGCAGAATGAATTTTGATAAACTTACCTCTCCTTGATACCAGACCCATCCCTTGACAGTCATATCCGAAAAGGGCAAGACTTGTGTAGCAAACAACTGCGAATCCCACCAGAGCTGTCGCTTGTAGGGACGCAAATCCTGCGGACCTGATCCAGAACGATTTTGGCACTTTTCAATGGTGGCATTATTCATAAACTCTTGAATTCTCTGTCCTCCAATGGCAGTATTGGACAGTCCAATGGGGATATCCACGCCGCTGTCTACCAAGCTCTGGGCAAAGTACCAGCAAGCTGCACCAAAATCCAACAATGGAGACTTTCCCGGGTTTTCCGGAGTGACAGCTTGATAAGCTGTTCTCCAGGCATTGGAGCCTCCCACGTCTCCGTACTTGTTGGGTTGCCAAGCGCGATGACCGTATGGATGATTGCCCGAATTACCCGCCATGATGCGAATATTGTTGTACTTGCCTTGGAGAATGGCCTTGCTAGTTTGATTGATGTGGAAGGAATTTCGAAGCGGAAGCCACATATTCGACTGCCCACTACAATACCACATGTCCCCAAAGGCTACATTGGAAAGGGATGTAACGTTTTTGTCTTCGCCCCCAATGCAGGTAGCCGTAATCGTGTAGTTGCCACCGGGATTCTGAGGAGGCAGCAGAAACTTCCAAGTTCCCAAAGGTGCGTTCCAAGGATTGTAAGGATTCATATCATAGGGCGGACAAGCAATCTTGGGACAAGGGCGGATACCCCATTCTTTGCCAAAGGGCTAAGATTTGCACCAGCAAATGGATGGGTCAGGGAGGTGAAAACGAGGAACGTGACAAAAGCAACAACATGCTCTTCTTACCTGATTGGTGACATTGATCATAGCATCCTTGCTGGTAAATGCCATCTTTTTTGCGTCCTCGTCATAGACATCCAACTGCACGGCAGTACACTTGAAACCTAAGAATCCATAGACAGCCGCCTTGGAGCCATGCTGGAGAACCATATTGCTACCAAAGACGGCATCAAAGGCAAAATCATTGATGGGAGGTGCTGGTTTGGAACCTCGTTCGGTTTGGATCCAGGAGAAGTATGTGTGATACAAATACCCAGCCCACGTCTTTTTCTCCTCGTCTTCTCGTCGCTGCTCGAGCAATTGTGCCACAAATGTTGGATCCATGCTCGCCAACATTTCGTCATCGTACATCATCATATTCATGGGATCATTAGTCTCTTTGGTAGCTTCTTGAAGGAGAGTCATGCCCCAAAAGGCCACAGTGGCTACGACTAATCCGGCTAGACCAAGGCGACGACTCACGCTAAAGGTCTTGTTGGTCTTCTCCTTGCTCTTGTTCGCGTTGAGCAGGGGCTGGTTGGGCAAGGCCGCCAGCATTTCTGCGTCATCGTCCTTTGCGTTTTGGAGGCTCGACATCATGCCCGCTTTACTTCTTTCCCAGCGTAGATTCAGATCTTGCATTGGAGGAAACATCGACCAAGACAAGGAAAACCAGATTTAGACCCACTACACCACGAGATCTACGGCAGCAATAACAGCACGATTCGATTCGATTCGATTCGATTGCTCATTCAACTTCACGTCATCAAGAGAACCATTGCTCACCTCTCTTCCGCTCCTCCTTCCGTGCTTCTGTGTCTCACCAATGCTACGACTACTACTTCTGATACTGAGCCTCGATTTGTAGACGCGCAGAAGAAGATGCAATCGTTTTCAGTTGTCAATTTCGTCGACTGTTGCTGCGCTTCCTGTCTTCAGAAGAATGAGGTCCAAAACTCCAGAGCGCTTCCTGACATGGATCCATCAGCGAAAGATCGCAAGATACAACTCTGATTAACCCTACCGCTACCGAGCACGGAGGGCTAAATGACATTTTCCACGCCGTGGTAGAGGCAACTCTCACAGAGTATGCGACCGTGCCAGCGGAACAAAGGGGGTTCAGAGTGGGGTACTTATCTATGGAAGCCAGCCAGGGCCAGGCGGTTAAGCAAAGAAGAGTTGAACTTCAGGGCCAGTAAGTTCCATGGGTCCAGGGAAGATAAACTGAGGACCAGTACAGTGACCAATGGGCTTGGCATAGCGGATCCAGAGAAACATAAATGGGCAGCTGGGCTGTGGAATGAAGGTTGCAACCCCCACATTTAATAGTCCTTAAAGTTGGGATCAGATTATATCGAAGCGCCACTAAAGCGTATCGTATCATGGGCATCATCGAATAGTACACTGTATAATACTTCAATCCACCTCTTCGTACTGCTCCTCTGCTTCTTCCTGATCACCGCCACCTACTGGAGTGCACACGGACTTGTGCTCCTCTTTCCAAGAACGCAACTGGCATCGTCGGGAACAATAGAAGACAACCCGGCACCGAGAGCAACACTTGAACTTGTCTGTGCCTCTCTCAAAACCCCTGCAAAGTGCACATTCACGCATGGGACGACAGCTGTTCTTGTGAGCCTTTTCCAACTGATAGCCAACGGTATTCTTCCTGGAATGGCGGTTTCGATCAGTAAGCGACTCCGTGAAACACTCGTTGATGGAGTCAAGGTTGCAGATACGGCATAGCTTGTAGCTTGTGCCAGAAGAAACCAGAACATAACACATGGTGGGATCCATGCTGGGAACAAGCTTGTACTGAGTTTTGTAGTTGATGTCACCACGAAGAAGCTTTGCATTGTGGATCTTGACACCGCGCCATTCCGCACGAGACATGTCCAGAGCATCAATAAATAAAATGGATGTAGGACTGCCATGGGAACCGCCTTTGTCGAAATATGAAATGGTGCTCTTTCCATCCGCGCCCACTTTCTCGATCATTGAGCCTACTGATGGTGCCAGAACAAGACTGGTGTTGCCGAATTGATGGCACTGCGCTCGAAATTGAGATGCCAAGTACCCGCACCTGTCTTTAGCGGCCACGGTAAGGTGCCAGATCACCTCGGGACGTTCCTTGCCATCGACTTTTAATAGTCGAAAGAGGTCCAAGGCATACTTGGGAACTTTCTCACTCCGCTTTTCGTTCACTTCATCCCTGCCCTTTCGTAGCATAGCAATCATGGGCTCCCCGTTCACCTCGACATCCCAGACAGCTTGAAACACAGGGAGACTGACACAGATGTGATCCGGCGGGCAAGGACCAGTAAACCAGCTGTGTTTGTAAGGGTGGGCAACTCGAAACCATTCTCTTGAGCGTGTATCAAGTAGGTAAGCAGCAGCAGAAGACTCGCCCATGGTCCGTGCCCCCCTATTCCGTGTAGTCATCATATCGGCACCTCCAAATACGACCAAGAAAGGGCCAAGGACGGCGCAAGCACTGCCAACGCGAGTGACAACCTGGCTGTCAGGGATGCAGCCTCGTGTCTTAATCTGAAACCAACGGTTGCCTCTGAATTCCCACAATTCTACTTTTTCAGTGAGTGCACCTTTCTTAGGCATCATATCTTCTATCATGAAAGACATCAAATCAATTCCATCATCTTCGCCATCAGTACAGTTTGCTGATGATACCAACACACGAAGCGCTGAAGATGGGGCATCAGGGACCACTCGCACGGCCTTCCAACGCCTTGCTGACTGATCTGGAAGCGGTATATTGACAAGTTCACCTGTACCAGAATCTATCATATTCATCTGTACGTGGTACCCGCGCAGCCCGTCCTTGTCACCGCGCTTCTGGTGAAAGAAAATAGCAACATTTCCGCCTTCCACCATCCTTGCATCCAGGTCTGTAATATCCTTGAGGGGCAATGAAGCCTCTATGGATGCATACATCATCCTACCCTGAATACAGGCGTCCAAGTCTTGGAGATCAGGAACACCGCAAGAGGCAAAGATTTCCCGTGCTTTTGACAAGTCACCAGTTGCCTCCAATGATTTGGCAATGCACAAGTAAATGGGACGAGCGTATTTCTTCAAAGAGACGTCTTCTAACTGTCTCTGCCACACATCAGAAAAGATCTCAGGGATGCTGATCACCTTCCAGTGGTCTCCCTTTTCGGCAATGTGCTCCGCATAAAGATACACCAACTCGAACGATTGCTGAGGACATCCAGTTTTAGTACAGACCAAGGGTGCCAAAGCAGGTAGAGCCTCAACAAGCAGGGAAGCAAAATTGTTGTGGCGGCGCCTTATGAGCAATCGAATGTCTTCAAGTAACACTGAGACAAAGTCGCTGTCGATGTTCACCTCACAAGGCACCTGATTTGCGATGCAACAAGACGCCACTCTGGCCCTGGCGAGATCGCTGGTCTGCGACAACTTAATCAGCAAGCCAATTCCAACTGGGAACCGGCGCGACAGCGTGCACAGGACGGTGATGGCCAAAATGCATAGCTGGGGCTCATCGAACGTCGAACAAGCCAGATGGTATGACTGCTCTGTCAGTTGCAAACACAGAGTCAGCAGTGTTTCCTTGAAGCCGTTGCCGAGATCAACCTCTTAAAAGAACCCCGCGTTGTCTCGTTTATCTAAAACCAATAGAATTGTACGAAGACCTCTCTCAGAGAGAAGCCTTTCTTTCACACAGCCACCAATCAGCACATGGCCCAAACCTTCCATGGCGGATGGTACAGCGATCAACCCTCCATAGGGATCCGTCCATTGTTGGGGCATAGTGGATGATTCGTCGCTTGAGAAAATGGTCAGATCAATTCTCTACTTCTGATTCAATGGAAGAGCTTTCCAGCTAGCTTTTCCGAGCCCGAGCGTGGAAACGGCAGATCTGAAGGCAAACGAAACCAGAGCGCAACGTAAGCCCGAAGAAGCAAGCAATGAAACCGTCGGAACCTCCGTGGTCAAATGCAAAAGCAAACAAGAGCCTCGGAATTTCTGGCTAGATGCCAAGCCAGTAGTTCTCCAAGCAGCCCTCGCAGTTCAAGGGTTGTTATCTTTTTGGATTATGATGCTCGATTGGAGGCTGTGTTGCATGTATTACCAGTACAGTACCGAGCGAGCGAAAGAGCGTGCTAGCGTGGAGGTGAAATATTTCCTTTCTCTGCAGTACGATTTTCGCCGCCGTGGAAACAAACATCGTGGAATCATCACAAAGGACAGCTCGAAGGATCGGTGAATCGCGGTCAGGAGTACATGTATGGCATACTACATGTAGTACCGAAAATGCAATGAGGCCTAGCTAGCTAGAGCTAGACTGTGGAAGTCAGCTTCACAATAACTAGCTAGAGAGAGACACCTAATCACCATTGCCATTTCTGTGGGTGTCCACTGCAAGCAAGGCAGCTAGCTGGACGGGTAGGGAAACAACTTGAAACAGTGCTGGCTGCATAGGCTAGTTAAGTACCTTGGTTGGAGGTACCGGTGATCGCTTCAACCACTGTCTACTGGAGCTAGCTAGGCGAGTACTTTGTACGAAACCGCCGCCGCGAGCAAGATACTCCTTGATCCAACTTTTCCAAGAAGCACCTCTGCGACCAGAGCGAACGAGAAACGCAGTGGCCGAAGGAGCAGCACCCATCAAAGCGGTGCGCGCACACAGGCCCAAGTAGTAATGATGCTGGATACGCCAAGTTGACCAGCGTATTAGCGATACTGCAGCAGCCGGGAGGGTGAAAGCGACAGGTTTGCTCTTACTTTTAACATACATCTTCCGAGTGGCTGTCCAAGTTTCACTTCTGCATCCTCGCGGAAACTTGCAGACGTAAATGGGAACTAGTTAGTTAGATACCGATGGAGATGGAGCCCTCAGTCGGTCTTTGGTTCTTGTGCTATGCAGCACACGGGGCAAAAACGTTGCTAGGTTCGATCCACATGACCCCAACGCATGCTTTCTTCCTTTTTTGGGCCGGGATTAGGTACCTGGTGGCCTTCGGAAACTGCCTATATCACAGTTATAGTATAGTCGTTCCATCGTGCAGGAAGTCTTTTTTCTCTCTCCTGCAAGTAGTAGGAACGGCAACGAACGCTTTTTGTTACTGGTGTGTACCAGTACAACCACATCGTCAGTGGTTTCCTGGCCAAAATCTACCACAGGTTCTCTCTTGCTGCAGCTCCAGCTCAGGTCGACATTGGCCTAAATCCCCAACCAACATGCAAGACCACGGGTCAACCACGATTGCAGCAGTTCCTAAAATGTATGCATTCAAGCATGTTCCGGCGCTCTATTCTAGGATGGAACCATGTTGTCAGTCTTACCAATAAATTTGGCATATTCAAAGCCTAATTATGCTTGTTCATTGGATGATTTCAATGGTACACTGTTCCGATGTGAGCCGTTTGGGAGAGCCTGTCAGATCGGAATGATAAGTACTGAGTACGCGCAGGTTTGAAGGCGCAAACGAGCCCTCCAGTGATTCACATTTCATGCCGAGCTCCCAGTGCTCATCACACATGATGTTTGTTTGGTTGCGTCACCTCCACAAGAGCGCCTTTTTCAGATGTTGTTGTGATTTGGTTGACAAGATTAGAACTCAACACGCTGTGAATCGAATCGAAGGAAATGCTGAACGTGTGGGGTTGGATTAGATTTCATTTCCAATCTGCCGTGACACAATACTAAGTAGAGTTACAATCGAATCAATTGCGAAACAACGTACACTCCCGCAGGAGCCAACCAACCATTGCTTTGTGATGCCTATTAATACTACATACATGCACTATCCTCTCCACGCTGCGGCTGGAAGCAGTAGCGAAGAGGGCCTGTCGATGCCTAGCTATCCACAACAAGTAGCGCAACATCGTCACGTCCGCAAGCAACGAAGACGACGACGCAAGCATAAGCAGCCAAAAGAAAGCCACGCCAAGCCACTGCCCATGCCGTTGCAACCAGAACAACACGATGACACTCCACAGGTATTGCTTTGGCAATCGTCGAAACGCCGCGGTAGTAGTGGATCCTTGAGCAGTTGTAGTAGTAGCAGTGACATTGGCAACGCCGCCGCAAGATCTCGAGACGACGAGGAAGAAGAACGATGCCTTTCGACTTCGACGAATGAGATTTTCCGGCAACAAGCCTATGATCGACAAGCTCCGTCTTCGGCGACGTCCAGTGAACTCCTGGTAGAGCAGTTGGTGGGTGATGCCATTGTGGAGCGAGAAGAAGAAGAAGAGCAAGAGAAGGTTGTCGATTTGCTAGGCCCCATTGGACCGCAATGGTATCAACTAGAGTACTGGAAGGAACGCTTTACTAGTCACTGTTGTCTTCCACGACGACGACGAAGCAGTAGTGCTCAGCATCACATGAGAAGACTGTCTACACAATCGCACTATCTCGATTACCGACCAACCTATTTGGGATACACAGCCGACCAGAATCCATGGCTCCAACAACCGCAACCCTACTACGTCATGCCATGGCCTCAGCAACAGCAGCAAATTGTATCGCCCATGGCCGACTCGCCCATGCAGCTGTATCCTCATCATCCGTACCATCATCACCACCATCATCACTCTTGGCAGCAACAGTCAGCCAGACAATCCAATAACTTTGTCTCTCCTGAACCGTCATCAACCAATCCAAATAATAAGGAGCTCTCGCAAGATGAACAACTCATGGAAGAGCTCTTTTCTCACAATGCCCCCAACAGCAATCCCACATCAACTCCAAACCCAGACAACACGAATCGCAAGAGTCACGTTCGAACGGCGTCCAGTCTCCCAGAGGCGGCATTCATGACGACACCGGAAGACCAGTTTGGTGGCTTTATGAGGACTGTAGGTGGTGCCAATGCGGACAATCAGTCAGTTTCCTCCCTGGAAAGTGACCTACAAAGTGACTACTATTACTGGAAGAACAACAACAACAATGTAGCACTCCAGCAGCAGTACGGCAAAGTTGTCTTGCCGGAAAACAACAATGAAGGGAATCCTGCATTCTCCAATCGCATCTCCAAACTACGGGGCAGAAGTCCGTCACCAAGGCCCAGCAGCAAACCACCGGTGGCGCCTCCGAGGCGAGGAGCCAAGCAGCATCGAGCGCAACACACTAATTCTACAATGGCATCCACTGCCTTGCCACCGTTGCCATCGCCACAACCCTTTTCGCCGCCACCGTTGCTGCAACAGCCACCGTCTCGAGATTTGACTAGATCCTTTTCGGAAGCCTCGGCGAATACGAATGGATCCAGACATCGTCGTGGAGGGACCGTGTGCGAATTCTCCTTTGAATCGCTCATCACGAACAGTCCCCGGACGAAGCGTAGCAACAGTTTACCATTGGAAGTGCAAATACAAGTGCACTATGCTCCAACACCGACGGGCAATAACAACGCTCCTTCTCGATGGAGATTGGATTCCAATGGCGACGATTCATTGGTGTTTTTGGACAAGCCAAAGAAATCACGCCCGGCACCCGAAGAAGAAGAAACGGGATACATTAGCCCATTGGAGGAAGAGCAGTTCCTGAATGGAAGCGTGATCCATGCAGTGCCAAAAAGTGCGAGTGACATGGATGCCAGTCCACAAACGTCCACAAGCAATCCTCAAGATAGTCTCTGTGGAGATGATGATGAAGACTATAATGACAATGAAATGGACGACAGCATTGTGGGCACTCCCACCAAGAAGAAACCACACGGAGGAGAATCTGCCGCGTCGAGTCCATTTTCCAAACTCAAGGATGATGCGCCTCTCATGTCGGCTGGAGAATCCTGGATGTTGCAGTGGTGCAATCACGACACGACTGCAGTCGCTGACGTGCCTTTTAGCGCAGTGACTCCCACGCAGAGCCCTTCCAACAGCAGTACGAATACCAGCAGGTCGTCGAGAAGTGTAGTAAGGCGCCGTGTGGCCAAACCACCCAAATCGCCACTATCGCAGGAGCCGCCTGCACCCGGAGACAAGGCGAGGCTGGAGTATTTACCCAAGAATCTTGCCTTGGAGCAAAAATGGAGAACCAATCACGCGGAGACGAGCGCCCAAGGTGTAGCGGCCGTTTCTGGTTGGATTGCCTTTGGTTTTGGAGACTCGCTGTTGGAAAAGCTCCAGGATGATGGTGCCCACTTGGATCGTGGTGATATCGCTTACATTATTGCTCCTTCAGCTTCGAACAAGCTATGGGTCTCCAGCAAGGCCGATGGAACCTTTGATAACCTTGTTGATTGGCAGGATTGTCGAGTCGAAGTGCATGAGATTTCCAGACTTCGCGGACGAGCCGTCGTTGTGAAACGACAAGACCAGGCGGTTTGCACACTCTTGCCCGTGTGTTTGGCGGAACACTACGATGGGTCTCCGCAACTCTTTGACCCAACTCAATGCTTCCCACACGGCGACTATCTTCCTGACGAGCAGCAGTATACCACCATGCACATTATGTTCGCACTGGACTCTCTCCTCAAGGCCAATCAAACCTGGATGTATTGAACAGAATATTAAGAAAAGGGAATTGTAAATGGATAGGTTTTGAAATCAGTCCTGTGGCATGTCATCTGTCTCTTCGCTGAAGGAGATACGTTTTACCATAAACCTGTACTGAAGTGAGTTGCATCACTCATTCGTACCGGTACGATTCCGACGCATCAGTGTTGCAACGTAGAAAATTCGGCAGCAAAGACGAGCTATGCTGCTTCCTACGGTAGCTAGAGCCTACTCGTTCGTTGTGAGTGTAGGAGGTCCAACATCCACATGATGTACAAGTAGCTAAAACCTCAGGAGGAGGCCTGTTTGAAAAATAGATAAAGCAAGCCATCCATAAACACAGTTGCTATCTATGATGATAATTTCTCTCGTCTTCTCATCGCCTACTCGGAGAGATCCCAGCCAACGCCGCGGTCAATGACATCCAGTCGATTTGGACCCACGCCAATCCAACGAATGGGTACACCTATCAGTTCCTGCACACGGAGGATGTACCTTTGACAATTCAATGGCAGTTCCTCAAACGTTCGGCACTGCGAAATGTCTTCCGTCCATCCAGGGAGCGTTTCATATTCGACTTCAACGTTGCCAAGGACCTCGAGTGAAGCAGGCATCGAGGACAAGTACTTGCCCTTGTATCTGTATGCTTTTCCAATCTTGACTTGCTCCAATCCAGTCAAAACGTCAATTTTGGTCAGATTCACAGCGGTGTAGCCATTGATCATGGTAGAATATTTCAGCTGTGGGATATCCAACCACCCACAACGACGAGCACGGCCAGTGGTGGTTCCATACTCGGCCCCTACCTGGCTGAGGTGCATTCCCGCATCTCCCTTGGTGGTGATGGGTAACTCGGTGGGGAACGGACCCTGGCCTACACGGGTGCAGTAGGCCTTTACTGTTCCGTAAATTCCGCGTAGCTTGCGAGGGCTGACACCCAAACCGGTCAAAACCGATCCCACACTGGGATTGGACGAGGTGACAAAAGGGTAGGTTCCAAAATCAATATCCAGCATGGCGGCATTGGCACCTTCAACAAGAATTTTCTTTCCATCCTCAAATTGTTGATTGCACAAGGCGATTGTATCGATAGTGATTTCCTGGACACGGGGTGCAATGCTCTTGTAGTACGCTAGCTGTTCTTCCACGTTGATTTCCAAGCCTGGGTAGGACCTCATGTGATGGTCCGCGAGTTCCCGAAACCGTCTCTCAAAATAGTCGTAGTCTTGCAGATCTCCCACGCGGAGACCATTTCGTTGGATTTTGCTGGAATATGCCGGACCAATACCCTTTTTGGTGGTCCCCAATTTGTGTCGGCCTAGACGATCCTCCTGCTTTCCATCCACGGCCTGATGAAAATCAAAAACCAGGTGGGCACGGTCCGAGACAAAGACTCGCCCATTGTATGAAATTCCATTGCCTCCCAAACTATCCAGTTCATTGAGAAAGGAAGGCAGATGAACGACGACTCCATTGCCAACAATGCACAGTGCTTTGTCGTTGAGAATTCCAGATGGCAAGAGATGGAACTTGTACTTGACGCCATCTACGACAATGGTATGCCCAGCATTGGATCCTCCAGCTACGCGAGCACACACGTCATACTCCTGCAAAATGAGTAGATGACATGCAAGAAAGAAATTGGAAAAAATGAGAAAAACAAGCTCTGGCGTAACAACGAAAGCCCAATAGCAAGCACGTCAAAACATCTCACAAGCTAGCTAGCTGGTGGTATCCCGACGGTTTTCCAACAATTGTACATACATACATACATACCTGACTAAGAATATCCACAAGCTTTCCTTTTCCTTCATCTCCCCACTGGGCTCCCAAGACGATATCAATGCCTTTGCCTGATCCTGCAACAGCAGTTGATGGAAAGTTGCTAGAAGTGGTACCGGATCCACCTCCCAGGAGGATTTCAATATTGCTGACTTTTTGAGAAATATTTTGCAGCAATCCCAAAACAGTCTGGGAATTAGGATCGGCATCACAAGCAGCCACGTTGCGTTCTGTGAATTGAGGGTTCAAGTTGGTGTAGACCTACAAGCAAAAGAGAAAGAAAGAAAGCACACAGTGAGCACGTCGACTAGTCTAAAAGCCAACTTTCGCGCGTTCAGCCACCATCATCGCTGCCGACTGCCAAAAAAAGTTAAGAAGACCAATGAAACAGTGACTCCAACCATGATACCCATGGATTCGATTCTCATCACACTCATCAACCTTGGATACTTTCGATGACCCACTTGCGATACACTCGGAAGAAACCAAATGGATACCCCCACAATAATCTTTGAAACCAACCACCGAGACCCCTTTTTAAAAACAACGGCCAATTCTGTTTGACAGATATCAGGGAGTTGGAGATTCCACCACCACCAGACGAACTCACCATTCCAGCTCCAACGGCCCCAGTTGCCCCCAGGAGTGCTCTGGAAGCATGCTTACTGGCAAACACACGTGAAAACATGGTTGCCTTTTGAAAGGATCAGCAAAATTTTGGTCTCTTGCTATGGGTTTCTCTCTTTGGGAATGGCAGCACAAAAGCAAATGGATACTGAGGTAGGTTGTGATGACCGAAAACTTTTGAGAGTGGGAACTGCCGATACCTATCAACACTCACGTGTCCACAAGGTTTTTCCAATTTGCGGTTGTCAGCTCTGGCCTTGACGTCCGTCCGTTCTCCGGAAAAAGATCTTGGGAGTTCAACAAACTTTCGTTTCGTAGGATTTAGCAGCTCGTGCTGTCAAAACTTTCCCTCTCTGTCGACTCCTCCGGTACCGGTGGACCTTGGGTCCGTGGTTACTATATACCGGTACCAGTGGCAGTTGGAGCTTCATTAATTTTTGTTGCTCCTCCTTGGCCTGGCTTCATACCTGTATGCAAACATGTTGCTTGCTACTAGCTAGGCTAATAGTACACTGTAGCTAGCACCAAGAAAGAGAAGAGGTACCGGTACACTAGCAAGTAGTCCTACCGGTACCAATGCCGAGCCCAAGAGAGCCCAGTGCAGCTTGCCGCCTACTTGTTGCAGGCAAGGACGTAGATACATGTATGCATAGTTGTAGGAGGCAAAAAGACCCGTTGCTGCCTGAGCCGCAGCACTGGAGGCAGGTTCATTGGAAATCAGGAGCCTAACCCCAACGGTACAGATAGCAGCTTATCACACTCCACATACATTACATGGCATTGTGTGAACTGAGCGACTGAGACTCCGGCCGGATCCGGACACGCCCACACCGAGAATTCGATTTTGATGGCTTTCGCTCGTCTCCTGAACCCTGTCCTGTATCCCTTGCCTTGCCTCGCCTCGCCTCGCCTTCGGTAGCCTTCGTCTCCTGTACAGTACCTTTCTTTTAGCCTTGCCACACCGTCTGTCGTGACTATAAGCCCAATCAAGTACCGGTACTGCGATGCCAATCCAGCAAGCTATGGCTACAGTAGTGCGTGCTGATTGTGGCCAACATTTTCCTCTCGTTTGCGGGGAGTACGAACGGCTTTTGGTTCATCGCTCTTGAATGAAATCGGATCACTAGCGAGTCATGGTGGTGTTGGGTTATGGGTTGGCTTACTTAACGTCTTAGGCAAGTCGGCGGGTTTGGATAAATTCTTAATGAACTCTCTAGCGGTGGTTGTTCTGATTGGTCCAAAAGTTGGTCGTCATCACCTGTTGACACTTGAAGCGGGGTTGCGAATCTCGAAGATTCGCGGCGTGACTTCTATTAAGGGTCAAGACTGACGGACTTCACGATTAAAACCGGTATACACTGGTTGACATGGTGAACATGACTCATTTATGGAGGGCGGTGGATCTATCAAAGAACTTGTTACCTGTTACTTGCTGGGTTGCGGTGAGCGAGTACACCGGGACTAGAAAGGGATAAGAGGGGAATCTTTAATTAAAGGGCCATTCAGAACAACCACCGCTAGAGAGTTCATTAAGAATTTATCCAAACCCGCCCGACTTGCCTAAGACGTTAAGTAAGCCAACCCATAACCCAACACCACCATGACTCGCTAGTGATCCGATTTCATTCAAGAGCGATGAACCAAAAGCCGTTCGTACTCCCGCAAACGCAGAGGAAAATGTTGGCCACAATCAGCACGCACTACTGTAGCCATAGCTTGCTGGATTGGCATCGCAGTACCGGTACTTGATTGGGCTTATAGTCACGACAGACGGTGTGGCAAGGCTAAAAGAAAGGTACTGTACAGGAGACGAAGGCTACCGAAGGCGAGGCGAGGCGAGGCAAGGCAAGGGATACAGGACAGGGTTCAGGAGACGAGCGAAAGCCATCAAAATCGAATTCTCGGTGTGGGCGTGTCCGGATCCGGCCGGAGTCTCAGTCGCTCAGTTCACACAATGCCATGTAATGTATGTGGAGTGTGATAAGCTGCTATCTGTACCGTTGGGGTTAGGCTCCTGATTTCCAATGAACCTGCTTCCAGTGCTGCGGCTCAGGCAGCAACGGGTCTTTTTGCCTCCTACAACTATGCATACATGTATCTACGTCCTTGCCTGCAACAAGTAGGCGGCAAGCTGCACTGGGCTCTCTTGGGCTCGGCATTGGTAGTACCGGTAGGACTACTTGCTAGTGTACCGGTACATCTGCTCTTTCTTGGTGCTAGCTACAGTGTACTATTAGCCTAGCTAGTAGCAAGCAACATGTTTGCATACAGGTATGAAGGCAGGCCAAGGAGGAGCAACAAAAATTAATGAAGCTCCGACTGCCACTGGTACCGGTATATAGTAACCACGGACCAAGGTCCACCGGTACCAGAGGAGTCGACAGAGAGGGAAAGTTTTGACAGCACGAGCTGCTAAATCCTACCAAACGAAAGTTTGTTGAACTCCCAAGATCTTTTTCCGGAGAACGGACGGACGTCAAGGCCAGAGCTGACAACCGCAAATTGGAAAAACCTTGTGGACACGTGAGTGTTGATAGGTATCGGCAGTTCCCACTCTCAAAGGTTTTCGGTCATCACAACCTCCCTCAGCATCATCCATTTGCTTTTGTGCTGCCATTCCCAAAGAGAGAAACCCATAGCAAGAGACCAAAATTTGCTTGATCCTTTCTAAAGGCAACCATGTTTTCACGTGTGTTTGCCAGTAAGCATGCTTCCAGAGCACTCCTGGGGGCAACTGGGGCCGTTGGAGCTGGAATGGTGAGTCAGTCTGGTGGTGGTGGAATCTCCAACTCCCTGATATCTGTCAAACAGAATTGGCAGTTGTTTTTAAAAAGGGGTATCGGTGGTTGGTTTCAAAGATTATTGTGGGGGTATCCATTTGGTTTCTTCCGAGTGTATCGCAAGTGGGTCATCGAAAGTATCCAAGGTTGATGAGTGTGATGAGAATCCATGGGTATCATGGTTGGAGTCACTGTTTCATTGGTCTTCTTAGCTTTTTTTGGCAGTCGGCAGCGATGATGGTGGCTAAACGAGCGAAAGTTGGCTTTTAGACTAGTCGACGTGCCTCACTGTGTCTTCTCCCTTCTTTCTCTTTTTGCTTGTAGGTCTACACCAACTTGAACCCTCAATTCACAGAACGCAACGTGGCTGCTTGTGATGCCGATCCTAATTCCCAGACTGTTTTGGGATTGCTGCAAAATATTTCTCAAAAAGTCAGCAATATTGAAGTCCTCCTGGGAGGTGGATCCGGTACCACTTCTAGCAACTTTCCTTCATCAGCTGTCGCAGGATCAGGCAAAGGCATTGATATCGTCTTGGGAGCCCAGTGGGGAGATGAAGGAAAAGGAAAGCTTGTGGATATTCTTAGTCAGGTATGTATGTATGTACAATTGTTGGAAAACCGTCGGGATACCACCAGCTAGCTAGCCTGTGAGATGTTTTGACGTGCTTGCTATTGGGCTTTCGTTGTTACGCCAGAGCTTGTTTTTCTCATTTTTTCCAATTTCTTTCTTGCATGTCATCTACTCATTTTGTAGGAGTATGACGTGTGTGCTCGCGTAGCTGGAGGATCCAATGCTGGGCATACCATTGTCGTAGATGGCGTCAAGTACAAGTTCCATCTCTTGCCATCTGGAATTCTCAACGACAAAGCACTGTGCATTGTTGGCAATGGAGTCGTCGTTCATCTGCCTTCCTTTCTCAATGAACTGGATAGTTTGGGAGGCAATGGAATTTCATACAATGGGCGAGTCTTTGTCTCGGACCGTGCCCACCTGGTTTTTGATTTTCATCAGGCCGTGGATGGAAAGCAGGAGGATCGTCTAGGCCGACACAAATTGGGGACCACCAAAAAGGGTATTGGTCCGGCATATTCCAGCAAAATCCAACGAAATGGTCTCCGAGTGGGAGATCTGCAAGACTACGACTATTTTGAGAGACGGTTTCGGGAACTCGCGGACCATCACATGAGGTCGTACCCAGGCTTGGAAATCAACGTGGAAGAACAGCTAGCGTACTACAAGAGCATTGCACCCCGTGTCCAGGAAATCACTATCGATACAATCGCCTTGTGCAATCAACAATTTGAGGATGGAAAGAAAATTCTTGTTGAAGGTGCCAATGCCGCCATGCTGGATATTGATTTTGGAACCTACCCTTTTGTCACCTCGTCCAATCCCAGTGTGGGATCGGTTTTGACCGGTTTGGGTGTCAGCCCTCGCAAGCTACGCGGAATTTACGGAACAGTCAAAGCCTACTGCACCCGTGTAGGCCAGGGTCCGTTCCCCACCGAGTTACCCATCACCACCAAGGGAGATGCGGGAATGCACCTCAGCCAGGTAGGGGCCGAGTATGGAACCACCACTGGCCGTGCTCGTCGTTGTGGGTGGTTGGATATCCCACAGCTGAAATATTCTACCATGATCAATGGCTACACCGCTGTGAATCTGACCAAAATTGACGTTTTGACTGGATTGGAGCAAGTCAAGATTGGAAAAGCATACAGATACAAGGGCAAGTACTTGTCCTCGATGCCTGCTTCACTCGAGGTCCTTGGCAACGTTGAAGTCGAATATGAAACGCTCCCTGGATGGACGGAAGACATTTCGCAGTGCCGAACGTTTGAGGAACTGCCATTGAATTGTCAAAGGTACATCCTCCGTGTGCAGGAACTGATAGGTGTACCCATTCGTTGGATTGGCGTGGGTCCAAATCGACTGGATGTCATTGACCGCGGCGTTGGCTGGGATCTCTCCGAGTAGGCGATGAGAAGACGAGAGAAATTATCATCATAGATAGCAACTGTGTTTATGGATGGCTTGCTTTATCTATTTCTCAAACAGGCCTCCTCCTGAGGTTTTAGCTATGATACTTGTACATGATGTAGATGTTGGACCTCCTACACTCACAACGAACGAGTAGGCTCTAGCTAGGAAGCAGCATAGCTCGTCTTTGCTGCCGAATTTTCTACGTTGCAACACTGATGAGTCGGAATCGTACCGGAATGAATGAGTGAACTTCAGTACTGTACCGGTACCACAGGTTTACGGAATACGTATCTCCTTCAACGAAGAGAAGAGAAAGATGACATGCCACAGGACTGATTTCAAAACCTATCCATTTACAATTCCCTTTTCTTAATATTCTGTTCAATACATCCAGGTTTGATTGGCCTTGAGGAGAGAGTCCAGTGCGAACATAATGTGCATGGTGGTATACTGCTGCTCGTCAGGAAGATAGTCACCGTGTGGGAAGCATTGAGTTGGGTCAAAGAGTTGCGGAGACCCATCGTAGTGTTCCGCCAAACACACGGGCAAGAGTGTGCAAACCGCCTGGTCTTGTCGTTTCACTACGACGGCTCGTCCGCGAAGTCTGGAAATCTCATGCACTTCGACTCGACAATCCTGCCAATCGACAAGGTTCTCAAAGGTTCCATCGGCCTTGCTGGAGACCCATAGCTTGTTCGAAGCTGAAGGAGCAATAATGTAAGCGATATCACCACGATCCAAGTGGGCACCATCATCCCGAAGCTTTTCCAACAGCGAGTCTCCAAAACCAAAGGCAACCCAACCAGAAACGGCCGCTACACCTTGGGCGCTCGTCTCCGCGTGATTGGTTCTCCATTTTTGCTCCAAGGCAAGATTCTTGGGTAAATACTCCAGCCTCGCCTTGTCTCCGGGTGCGGGCTGCTCCTGCGATAGTGGCGATTTGGGTGGTTTGGCCACACGGCGCCTTACTACACTTCTCGACGACCTGCTGGTATTCGTACTGCTGTTGGAAGGGCTCTGCGTGGGAGTAACTGCGCTAAAAGGCACGTCAGCGACTGCAGTCGTGTCGTGATTGCACCACTGCAACATCCAGGATTCTCCAGCCGACATGAGAGGCGCATCATCCTTGAGTTTGGAAAATGGACTCGATGCGGCAGATTCTTCTCCGTGTGGTTTCTTCTTGGTGGGAGTGCCCACAATGCTGTCGTCCATTTCATTGTCATTATAGTCTTCATCATCATCTCCACAGAGACTATCTTGAGGATTGCTCGTGGACGTTTGTGGACTGGCATCCATGTCACTCGCACTCTTTGGCACTGCATGAATCACGCTTCCGTTCAGGAACTGCTCTTCCTCCAAGGGGCTAATGTATCCCTTTTCTTCTTCTTCGGGTGCCGGGCGTGATTTCTTTGGCTTGTCCAAAAAGACCAATGAATCGTCGCCATTGGAATCCAATCTCCATCGAGAAGGAGCGTTGTTATTGCCCGTCGGTGTTGGAGCATAGTGCACTTGTATTTGCACTTCCAATGGTAAACTGTTGCTGCGCTTCGTCCGGGGACTGTTCGTGATGAGCGATTCAAAGGAGAATTCGCACACGGTCCCTCCACGACGATGTCTGGATCCATTCGTATTGGCCGAGGCTTCCGAAAAGGATCTAGTCAAATCTCGAGACGGTGGCTGTTGCAGCAACGGTGGCGGCGAAAAGGGTTGTGGCGATGGCAATGGTGGCAAGGCAGTGGATGCCATTGTAGAATTAGTGTGTTGCGCTCGATGCTGCTTGGCTCCTCGCCTCGGAGGCGCCACCGGTGGTTTGCTGCTGGGCCTTGGTGACGGACTTCTGCCCCGTAGTTTGGAGATGCGATTGGAGAATGCAGGATTCCCTTCATTGTTGTTTTCCGGCAAGACAACTTTGCCGTACTGCTGCTGGAGTGCTACATTGTTGTTGTTGTCTTCCAGTAGTAGTAGTCACTTTGTAGGTCACTTTCCAGGGAGGAAACTGACTGATTGTCCGCATTGGCACCACCTACAGTCCTCATAAAGCCACCAAACTGGTCTTCCGGTGTCGTCATGAATGCCGCCTCTGGGAGACTGGACGCCGTTCGAACGTGACTCTTGCGATTCGTGTTGTCTGGGTTTGGAGTTGATGTGGGATTGCTGTTGGGGGCATTGTGAGAAAAGAGCTCTTCCATGAGTTGTTCATCTTGCGAGAGCTCCTTATTATTTGGATTGGTTGATGACGGTTCAGGAGAGACAAAGTTATTGGATTGTCTGGCTGACTGTTGCTGCCAAGAGTGATGATGGTGGTGATGATGGTACGGATGATGAGGATACAGCTGCATGGGCGAGTCGGCCATGGGCGATACAATTTGCTGCTGTTGCTGAGGCCATGGCATGACGTAGTAGGGTTGCGGTTGTTGGAGCCATGGATTCTGGTCGGCTGTGTATCCCAAATAGGTTGGTCGGTAATCGAGATAGTGCGATTGTGTAGACAGTCTTCTCATGTGATGCTGAGCACTACTGCTTCGTCGTCAGCTCGTGGAAAGACAATCAGTTTCTAGTAAACGTTCCTTCCAGTACTCTATGATACCATTGCGGTTTCCAATGGGGCCTAGCAAATCGACAACCTCTCTTGCTCTTCTTCTTCTCGCTCCACAATGGCATCACCCACCAACTGCTCTACCAGGAGTTCACTGGACGTCGCCGAAGACGGGGCTTGTCGATCATAGGCTTGTTGCCGGAAAATCCTCATGGTCGAATGTCGAAAGGCATCGTTCTTCCTTTCCTCGTCGTCTCGAGATCTCTGCGGCGGCGTTGCCAATGTCACTGCTACTACTACAACTGCTCAAGGATCCACTACTACCGCGGCGTTTCGACGATTGCCAAAGCAATACCTGTGGAGTGTCATCGTGTTGTTCTTGGTTGCAACGGCATGGCAGTGGTTGCGTGGCTTTCTTTTGGCCTGCTTATGCTTGGCGTCTGCCGTCGTCGTCGTGCGATGGCCGGAATGAAGATATATCTCGACATCGCACGGATGAGACTCGATGTCTTGTCATACATAACACTTGTGTTGTGGAGTAGCTAGTGCATCGACGTAGTCCGCTCTCCATCTTCTGTCCGTTACTTGCCTTCTCAGACGCGGCGAGGGTGGCAGATGGATAGCCTTGTCATGTATGTAGTATCAAGGCAACAGAACAAATCGGTTGGATTGGCTCCCGAGGACTTGACGCATACGATTCGAAATTTCACTCTGATTAGTTGTGCACGTGACAGATTATGGATGACACTATCAACTTCCCACATCACGTCATGCATGTCTTCGATCATCGATTCACAGTGTTGAGTTTGACTTTATATCCTTGTCAATCCAACATCACAACACGATATCATTGTAGATTGTCACATGAAATCCGGGTTCTTGAACATTTTAACTAAAACTGGGTAAAAAGGCCGCTCTCTGCTGGAAAGTGACGCAAACCAAACAAACATCATGTCGTGATGAGCCACTGGGAGTACTCGCCATGAAATGGGAATCAAGCATGTTCGAGGGCTCGTGCTGTGGTCCGCACTTATTAACCCCTGCGATCTGTAAGACAATCATCACCGAGCATTACCTACTAGGTATTTGCATATGGCCCAGATGCTGACAGGATCTCTCCCAAACTGCTACCGAACAGCTGCCCGGATACGATTACCATTGAAATCATCCAATGAACAAGCATAATTAGGCTTTGAATATGCCAAATTTATTGGTAAGACTGACAACATGGTTCCATCCTAGAATAGAGCGCCGGAACATGCTTGAATGCATACATTTTAGGAACTGCTGCAATCGTGGTTGACCCGTGGTCTTGCATGTTGGTTGGGGATTTAGGCCAATGTCGACCTGAGCTGGAGCTGCAGCAAGAGAGAACCTGTGGTAGATTTTGGCCAGGAAACCACTGACGATGTGGTTGTACTGGTACACACCAGTAACAAAAAGCGTTCGTTGCCGTTCCTACTACTTGCAGGAGAGAGAAAAAAGACTTCCTGCACGATGGAACGACTATACTATAACTGTGATATAGGCAGCTGCCGAAGGCCACAAGGTACCTATTCTTGGCCCAAAAAAGGAAGAAAGCATGCGTTGGGGTCATGTGGATCGAACCTAGCAACGTTTTTGCCCCACGCTGCATAGCACAAGAACCAAAGACCGACTGAGGGCTCCATCGGTGTCTAACTAACTAGTTCCCATTTACGTCTGCAAGTTTCCGCGAGGATGCAGAAGTGAAACT